TTCTTGGAGCTCATCAGCAACCTTGTGAGTAGTTACCTTTATGAAAATACACTGTGACATCTCAAATATCGTGCCAACTGAAACATGAGGCGGCCTGTGTGCAACACATTCAGGTGTAGAATATCAAAAACGAGAAATTCGGTTGAGTCTCTCGTGAAAACCAAATTGATTTGCAAATGAGTGTATTTCTTGAGTATATGTTGTCTATTCCAACGGACAAAAGCGCAGCGGACTTATGAGAAAGCTGAGAATGTATGGTCTAATGGAGATTCCATTAAAAGTTACAAAAAACTTTTTCAGGGAGACTATGCCACTATTATGCAATGAAGAATAATAGAGCCCCGGAATATGCTCCTGAGCAATTTGGGCTTTGTATATGAGCGACAATAAAATCACCGTAAGTCTGTCGAGATCCTCGCTTGCTATCACACTATTTAGTTTTGCCCTTAGTCAAAATATGCGTTTCCGAACAAAGCTGAAGGGCGAGACCCTGAGTGAAGGAGGTCAAACGACGAAACTGCTCTCACTGAAAGAACGAAATGTCCATCGAACATTCCCAAATCTCTTCACATCACCATCAACAAAGAACTATTATTTGTCCCTATAAATCCCTGTTGCAACTAACCAATGTTGTGGTGCGTAACTGTCACTCAACAAATTTTACATGATTTTCTTTTGGAAATGTATGTAAATCGTCCCAAAAGCGGCTCCTCAAGGCTTTCAAAAACGTCGACGTAGCCATTTTGGGAGACAACATGGTCAAGCAAAACATTCACATCGTCATAATGGTCGAGTTTTAGAGGTGTGAAATCGACATTCATTTTGCCATCGGTTTTAATCACTATGTTAAACTAAAATCCATCCGTCATCTCCTCGAACCCGTGGTAACATATGGGTCACCTGCATGTCACCCACCCTTCAAAGTGGCCCCTTCGGGTACGTTGAAATACCAGATCAATCAAGCGATAGTAATGGCAGGCAGATATTAGCAACTGTCTGGGTAAGGTGTACTGTTTTTATCTACTATGAATTTACAAGCTATTGAGGTATGCAAAACGGTGTCACCTCATAGACCATGCATTCTTTCTGCACACAGTGCGCTCACTGACTGCAGCTTTAGAAGAATACCAGAGTTATGTGTACAAGTGAAAAAGTGTTGGTGTTGCAACTGAGCCAGGAATAATGACACCAGATTTATAATATATGTATATATAATGATAGCTCACCCTCGGAAGGGCTCCGGTAGATCAAGACTTGAATAGTTTTACCAGTGTGTTGCATTTTGCACTTTGAAGTGAATGCCACAAAATCCTCGGCCGATATTGGGGCAAGTACTCTGCAAGTACGTTAGTTTTATTCTAAATGTCAGAGTATGACACGCATTCTAGGTAAAACTGAGTGGTATTCAACTATATAACTACACAACGACAACCACAGGGGCAAGGAGGGCAAGGAGCTAATTTGTGTCACTGGACGTCACCTGCGCACCTCGAATCAAAATTCCTTCCACAACGGATCCGCATTCCGGCCCGCTGGATAGCAAATTCGCATCAAGCAAAGATGCAGAACATCGCAGATAAAACCATACACAACATGCTTCATCCATCCTGCTCATCACTGAAATTGCGTGTGAATTGCCGCCTCAAAATTGGCATACCAAAATTAGAGTTTATCTGCTGCATCCTACTGATGATATCCTTAAATTTACTTTGTGGTTGACGCTAGCCTACTAACATCGTCGGCTCTGCCTTCAGGTGGCCACAAATTTATCTCGAAGAGCAAGATAGACAGGACGAGGCATATCTACATCCCACTGGGCACTAATTAGTTTGGCAGACAGAAAGCGGGCACTCAGACGGTTGGTTTACCGCCGGTGAAGCACATGAGGAATGCGTTGATTGACAGAAAAATCCCAGGAACATAGAAGTAAAAAAGAACATGTGATAACATGATAAAGTAATGAAATACATTATTTTAAATGCTTGGGACCCCGGGAAGCCCCCGCAAAATGAAATAATATCTGCCAACACTTCACTGAAGACATTGAGTAAATTTTTTCGAACGATAACGCTGTAAAGACCGAGATCTTGTGTCCACCGTTTTGATGGATTTCCTTTAGTTCATTGTCAAACGTTACTCGGGCGAATAATTGCGTAAAACTACAACGAAGAGAAAGCGACAACAGCTCTTCCTCTTAAGGACAAAGCAATATTCTGGGAGAGAATCTCAGCAATTAAATAATTTATGTCTCAACAAAATGACTTATGTGAACAAAGGCAGTCACTTCATGGATATTGGTAACTTGGAAATTTACATGCCGAATGTGTCGTTGGTACCGAATTCTGCTGGCAATGTATAGTTCCGATGGAACAGGTCGCATACCAGAAACCCCCATTTTTCTCGGTGTCATTACAAGTCAACATGTGTCATTTTTGGTCAATTCGACGTTCACTCTTCTAAAAGTAGGTGTGACATGTTCTTTCGGCGTTACTAAGGTTGATCCCTCATATTTGGACTCACTGCTGTGAAGGCACTCCATGTCTAACTCGCCCCGCTACACACTGCTGATTCACAGGTTAGACTGGGACCATATTCTAACGTGCCATTGAGCCACTGGTGACATGGAGATTTTGCTTGCAAAACCAGAGGTAACTGGACAACCCATTTTCACGAAAACACGTACTTTCAAACGGCCGTTGTGAACATGTGGCCAAGGCGTCTGACAAAATGCGTTTCTGACAAACTACGTCTCAGCCGGCGGAGTCTTTGCCATGAGAAACGCGAACCGTCAACCTATCGAGAGCTGTTAGGAAGACACCATGTATCTGTCATAACCGTCGTTTTGAGCTCAGCTAGTGGCTTCTTAAGCGGTTCCGCACGACTTCGAACCTAGCTGCGTGTCAATCAAACTAACTGGCTCTAAGTAGTTTTTCAAGATAGACCCAAGTTCTACTTAGTCTGTATTCACAACCCGAAACACTCCGTTTTGGTTTTAAAAGTGCGAATGGACTTTACACCTCTTCAGTTCCTTTTGCAAATCATGGGAACAATTATTCAGGTATTCAAAGGTGTTGAGTTGTCTCAAGATGATGCGATCGATCATACTGGCACCAAAGATAAACATGACCGACGACTCCCTAATATATTTCGTTAGTTTGGTTGTCAATCTTAAATAATGCTTATTTTCTGTATCCGGCTCTGACCACTCGAGGTGGTTGTGGACGACAGTGGATAGTCCTGCTTCGTTTTCTACTACAGACCTTCGTGAGCTTCACTCCACTACTGTTGGTTAGCATTGTTCTTCCGGACGTGTACCAAAGTTCACACAGAACACACAGCTTCGTTCGGATTACTTTCTGTTGAATCATTCTAGTGAGTGGATTGTCAGTAGTGCGGTTTCAGAGGCACTGTGAGCTTCCTTTCAAGCAGAACGCGCTCTACAGCACACTTTAGTGGGCTGTCAAAGGACCAAGACCTGATTCTGTAATTCAGGTGGATCGCGAGGTAGTAAAGTTCATTCGTGGCCCAACTCTTTGATGCTACCCCCTGCCGTAATTGTCCAACACTCGGTCATTTCATGAAGTGCACATAATTACAATTTTCAACATCGGGCAGGCAAGCACAGAAAACAGTTCGATTACCTTAATCGCGTCAGAGCACTTCATCTGCATTTCACCTGATCGTCTTTTGGTCCAACCTCTGCCGGCAAATCGTACAAGATTAATATGTGATACTGGTCTCTATATCAATCTTATACCCAATACCACGATGAAGAGGTTGGGGTCCCAACCCACAACGACGATTAATGGGCTACTTCACTCGACGCGATGAATGGTCAGTCGCGCAAGAGGGAATACTGTGCCTTTACGACAGAGTGGTGACCCACACCATATGCAACACTGTTAACTCTATACAAGTGCTGCTTTGGAGTGGAAAAAGTCATGACAATTGCAACGCCTAACGTCAATTCCGATATATGCCGGACGGCAGCGAGTTGCAGTGTCTACAAAAATCTCCAAAAAAATAATGTCACAGTGGGCTTCCAGGCCAGGTTCAAAGAAGGCCCGACAGAGCGGTCGTGCAGGATACCGTGGCTCAGTACTATGAAACAGTCATATTCACAAAGCGTGAAACTACAGAATAATCCATGTGTGCCTTGAGGAAGGTTTCTAACCGAAAAGAAGTGCCGGAAGCCCAGCATAAATCCACCAATTGTTTACCAAGCCTCTCAGAAGCGTCATTCCTCTTGCGAGACCTCCGACTTTCACGAAGAATGTGCTGGGAATTTTCATTGCGACAGAGAAACACTTCTCACTATACCACAAATGAAAACCGTGCGAAGCCACCCAAAGGACCTTGTTTCTAATTTATTTTCAATATGTGGTGTCTAAGTTATGAAAAGGGTTCAAGTAGAACATAGGGTTGACGGAAAATCGGGGACTGCGCCTACCTGATGAGCCTCAAGAAGGGCGAAACCGGTCGTGGGCTGTCGAAGAGTTTTCAGCAACCTTGTGAGTAGTTTCGTTTGTGAAAAGGTGACCTGTTATCGAGCGGTTGATCAACAGGCATTGTGCAAAAAATACACCAACCAGAAAGTGGTGCACACAATGGACTTAGATGATTTGTCAGTCCACATGCACCATATTGACCAGATACATTTTGCAGATACGGTCAGGCACATTCGGAATCCTTCCAATTTTACTGGTGTTTCCGGCAACCAAGCAAACGCACAGTCAACGAGAACACAAACACTAAACCGATCACAGACCCAGCGAAAAGCCTGCTAATAGTAATTGAAGTCTTCGTGTTTGACAAGCGGTACTAGACGCGCACAATTCGACATAAATTATTGTCTGGATTCAGTGTTTGGTTTAACTGGAAAACAGCGGACATGTTTGTGATTTTTACTTCATTAGGAATTTGAAAGAGACAGCTGAGTATTAACTACACGGCACTGGTGGTTTTGTATTTGCATACAATAGGACGTACTCTGCTTCCAGATGGCTCAATGGTTAGGGCGCGAATTTACCAACCAGTACGTCCGTGGTTCGAATCCAAACTCTGCATCTCGACTTCTCCTACCTAGGCTTGGGCAACCTGGCAGTATCGCAGCCCTCGTTCTTCCTTCGGGTGGGACGGCAGCTAGGAAGCGAAATGGTGTTACAGCGGAACGGTTAGCATTATTTTTCTCTCTGCTTGCAGGAATTCCTGTTTAGGCGTTCGGTGAAATCTGAAAAGTAGAGGTTGTACACTCACCTGTGTGAGTCTTCGTTGAAGATCAAATATTAGTTTTCCATACGGATTTCTTCCAGTGACTTGTCTCATCTCTGCATGCGCACCGAAATCTCCCAGACACTACAGTTATGTTCTCGTGGCGAACTGTCATTTCTCCGGCGCACAGACCCTTGGTCGTTTACCTGTCACCTGCAATGAGTCTCGTGTGGAAATCCTGTCGATATTCTGCGTTTGCAGCGACATAATCCAATTTGATGAGCCTTTCCTTACACAACACAGCATGTCAAAGGTTGCGAACTTCCCCAAGACAGATAGGACATATTACATATTAGTCATGTACACCAGCGGACACAAGGTAACTACGTTGACAACAACTGTGTCAAAATTGTGCTTAGATAGAATGAATAAACCTGGCTGATTTACTCCACCGAACAATCAACGGTCGCCCATCAGCACGACTGAAGTACACCGGATATCTCAGTTATATATCCCTTTGATCTGTCCGTGTGCAGCAATGTGAGAGACACGTTCCTAAAAGTCTAACAAGGCTTTTTATTGGAATTTCGTACGCACCACTCCATGATCAGTTTCCCCACTATTGCTACTGTCGTAATCCTGTACCGCTCACCCGGATTTTCTCAACTAGTGAAAGTCGGTCTCAAAGTTCAGCAGTGAGTTCCCGATGTTATTTTAACATCTCAATAGAGCTTGCTTCAAAGAATTTGGATTTCAAATGCAGGCTGAAAAATTCTCACCGATTTCCACGAGTACGTCGAACTCTTCAGCTGACTTCTGACGTCGTTTTCAATCAATTGGAAAAACTTTGGAACCTTACGCATCTTCCCTCCCCCCCAACTAAATTGTCGTAACATTCACATGCCCACGAAGATCAAGGAAAATCTACCAGTGGCACCCGAGGTGAATCATCATCACCCTGAAGTGGAACATTAAGGAAAGAAAAGCGATCGGAACTAATTTGAAACTGCTCCAACCCAATTCAAGATTTTGGCACCCACACTAGCCGACAAGAGCCGTTAATTGACACTCAACACTGATCTAGTTTGAAGAGGACTTACTGATTGGTTCCCCGTCTGTCTTATAACCTGGCCAATTTGGTGACCTGTTCACTTGGCCTGATGAAGCTTTTGTGTCAAGAGCGAAACGTTGCCCAAATAAAAACTACCCATTGTTTACCAAGCTCTTCTGAAACGATGACTTCTGACATAAGCGCAGTGTTCAAAAATATAAGTAGTAGGGTTGCTTGTGTATCTAGCGGGCACTCTGATGTATCAAGACCTGAATGTTCGTGAATCGAGTTTTGATGGCTCAGTAATCGAGTTCAAACTTTGTGGAACGTCAACGAAATACTCATTTGCGTAGCGGGTTGGTTTTGACAGGAGACCCAACAGGAACCCGGTTGGATCTCTCGTTTATTATTTTTTTAGCAAGTGAATGTGTTGCACCACGCCGCCTCATGTTGGAATCAGTATCGAGATAGAGCGATACACTGTATGCTTAAAAACACCACTGGGTTCCTGTCCAGACGGAGATAGTATGCAAATAAGGATATTACGCTAATTTCATGCAATCTGGGTTCAAGCAGAACGTAAGGTCGACAGAAACTCGGGGACGCGCCTACCTGATGAGCCCCAAGAAGGGCGAAACTGGTCGTGGATTGTCGAAGAGTCTTCAGTAACCATATAAGTAGTGTTACATTCGTAGAACATTCTTGAATATAACCTAATTCGTTGCTGAAATGAGAATTTTTGGTGCTTTGCGGCGTGTCCCGAGGTTGCCACTCTTAATAACCGAACACCACATGAATCGGACGGATGTGTCACCGCCGGTCACAAACTAGACTGCTCAGAATGTCAGCAAATCTTTATCGAGCACCCACAGCTTGGAGCTTCTCGCTCCCCCACAAAGATTTGTGTGACCTTGTGGAACATTCTGTGATGGTCGTACAAATACGTTTGTAATAATTTTCCTTCATCTCCATAAAGGGGTGTCTCAAGTCACTATACATGGTGGGCGGAGCAGGAGGCTAAGGACATACAAACACAGAAGTTGCACTATCGTCACGGTGTGACTTCAGAGTACTCCACGCTGCTGTCAACTAGGATACGAATAAACTGCGCGCCACTTACGAGATTTGAAGTTTGGATGAACTGAATTTTCCCATTAGTCTTGATGTTCACTGTTCCGTAGAATGTCCCAACAGTCTCGATCGGCACTAGCGTTGAATGGCTAGTTAAGCTGTCCTCGACAACATGTGTTTGTGGAAAATTTTCAAAAGAGCGGACCGTCTGTCAATGCCGGAACGTTGCGGGTTTGAAGATTTCTGGAGTTTAACGAAGTGCGCACTGCTGAGTGCATCGGCTTTTCAGCATATATTGGCTTCATTTACAGGTCGAAATTTCACAGCTATCTATAAGTAGCACAGTAAAGAATAAAATCCACCCGATGAATGAAACTTCCATTTATGAAATCGTCCCTCGAGAAGCCATTCAACACGTGTGACCATGTGATGTAGATCCCGTGATTGAAAGATGAGCGACGCTATATCTTGTCTAGTTGAGTTCATCACATTGCTGATCAATAGCTGGTTGCCGAACAAATAAGAGCTCACACTCGTAGCCGGCAGGCCGCGAGTTCGAGACTCTCTGGAGTTTCGAGAGATGCGCACTGCTGATGACTCCAACTAAGGATGAAACAGCTGTACAGTGCCTTTCGGCTTTTCAGCGTAGATTGGCTTCACTTACAAAACGAGACCCCTATCGAAATTCTAAAGTCTGCTCGTACTAACGACAATGCTTCGATATATTTCACGGCCTGTATTCAAAAGTGTACGCCGTCTGGTGCCGTGAGTCGTCAGCACAGTGGTCAGATGGATCAAAGCAACTATAGGTTCAAAATCAGCCTAGGAACGCACTTGCCCCAACACACCAATAGAGGATGGTTCTTTTTTGGGGTGAGTAACATGACTTATCAGAATTGCAGTAAAATTTTTTGATAATTTCACCATAGACCTTCGATTCATTTACCCTCCACTGCTCACCTCTGATAGTTGTCCAAACTAGGCAAACTCTGTAGTTCTTTATCCCACTATGAAACTAGACCGATGAGAGTGATGAGTTCATTTTGTTTGAGCAACATGTTCAATAACCATTGGAAAAAAACTCGTGTACTGCGCATCAAAATTTAGTTCAATAGTGTACATGAAAAAAGGAACTGGTTTAGCAATGATCATAGGCCTCAGATGAACCGGTTCGATGAAATTCATGGTGTTGTGTCCGAGGATAAGAACGCCTAGAAGGGATGCTCATCCTTCCTGGACCTTGAGTCTCCGCAGGGCCCAGATACGGCAGTTGGACTGGTTTCGGTTCACCATCAGATCGGACCGGGATTGGCTGACGACAACAAACAGAGAGTACGTTGAAGTAGGGTCTCATTTCCAGGAACAAGACATGCTCGTATAAGCCGTAAAAATTCTCTAGGTGTACGCCATATCGTAGTGAAAACTACTAAGTTGACGACAGCCAGAGGAAAAGAGCAAGAACACTGCCAGTCAAAGGTTTATCGACGCAGCCGTCAATTAAACGAAAAAAATTCTAATCATTGCTACCAAAGATTAACCTACGCAGGTGGGAATTTGAAAAACCACCTGTATTCATATCGCTCGTTTGAAAAGTTCTGTACCGGTCCAGATGCGACTGTTTTGATTGGCCCGCACCAAAGCGGGGTGTGTGAGCGCAAACCTACCGACAGCGGGATTCGAACCCGAGACAGCTGGCATGCTATACCAGCGTTACGATTGCCCCCAACAAGAGGAGCTAAATATCCATGGCTGATCACGTAGTCATCACAAAGAAAACGACAACTACGACAGCGGAGACAGGCTAACAAAGTTAGATCGGACTGAATAGTCATTATGATGACTAAATGACCAAAATCTGGAGTTCACTCAACTGATACAATCCAAAAAACCGCTTTCCGCGGGGTTCACATTGCTATATGCATTCAGTTAACCCCCACTAGACTGCCACTTTTACTTTAGAATGGCCGCCAATTTGATCACTTATTATCACACCTTACAACCCCATGGATTCGTTCAGCTGTGGCACGTTTTCGGGGCCTAACTGCCATGCCACCCGAAGGTTGCACGAGGGCTGAGAGACTGCCAGGTTGCCCAAGCCTAGACAGGGGAAGTCGAGAGGCAGATGTCGGGTTCGAACCATGGACCTGCCGGTCAGTAAATTCGCGCTCTAACCGCTTGGGCCATCTCGCCTTACCCCATGGATTGCTAGGGTTTGCTCCTTCTAATTATTCCATCACTTTTTCCAATACATTTTAGACTTTTTCAGCATCCTACTTTTCACTGTCCGTTACAGTTTCTTATCCGACCAACCAAACTGCACCTCTCCTTTCGTTATCTGCCTCCATCCACCGCTAACAGCACGGAACCACCTGGCTCTTTGTCTGCGTAAAATCAGATAGTGCTATGCGGTGCTATGGACTCCACATCGTTACCCTAGACTTTTTGACAACTGAGGCCCTATCTGCAGCAAGAACAGATTTACCGCGACTACTCCCCGGGTTCAGCTTCATCAGGATTCAGGAGGTAAATTAAGGAGCCCACCAAACTCTTCTAAAAGAGAGGCTCTTAACTTACGGACAGTTTGCCTGTTCCTTATGAGTATCCTCTCTTGGCTTTACAGAGAACCATTCGCGATGGGAATCATGCGAATCACGGTTGGAGTTGAGTGAGTGGTGCTACATCAGTGATTTTTTCGACGTACGTTATGGGGTTTTGAAACCTATCTCAGATTTGATGTCTGTGTTACCCAGTACGGAACAGCACAATCAAACCAACCAAACATATGAGTCCCTACAACGCAAATTACAGTCAACAAAACTAGTCAATTTGGGCAAGTCATGTGTGAAACAGGGTACCATGTATATATAACACTGAGCGCTGGGAATCTCTATTAATATGCCCTATCTTGGTCTGGCCCAGTAGTGTAGATCGGCCAGTCGGTGTATAGAACAAAAGCAACTAGGAGCGATTTCTATGCAGTGACGCAGTCCAACACAGGGTACATAAAACGAGCACTTACCTGCTCTAAGAAGAAACACTGTGGTAAATTAACGAATCCTCGGAGGATCCCGGTGACTTCAAGAAGGTCCTCATCTGGAATACCCGTGGTAAGATACAAGAGACCAGCTGAAGGATCGATGGCTCGACATATAGCTGGAAAGTGAAAGTCGAAAAGACCATGGAGGAAAAACAGGCGAAAGTGAATCAGTCGGTTAAATGAAGTGCTGAACAGAGGAGTAAAACACTGGCTGTACAAAATGTATCGGGTTGACCGAACAGTAGAACAACAGCTGATCAGGGTACCAATATAAGAATGTCAGTGGTTGTGGGCCTAGTGATAGCAGAATTAAAACTGCCTGCCGGCTTCTGTTTTCAAACTTGTGTGCACGTCATTTCATCAACAAATAGACGCAAAAACTTGAGAGCAGAGAACAAGGCAATTGATATGGAGGAAACTGTGTGAAATGGATATACCAATCTGGAAAGATCATTTTTTCTCCACGTCAGCAAGTTATTCTTCTGGACTGAGTAACCACCCGTTTGGCAAAATCGGTGAGCAGCAACTTCAAAAATCGAACTTATCCCTCGCTACATTAGTAGATTAGAATGCTTCATGACAAAATCAGTATTGGGACGTAACAAGTCTCGCACAGATCTCTTTTTTAGGGTGACCGGCTGCACACACGGTAACATCACCAAAAACCGGTAGCGACAGATTGGTATAGAATTCAGAGTTGACGTAGAGGCTTCGAGTGTAGATCCCTGCATTCATGGCGCATGGCACTGGTAATCGTCTCCTAAAATAGTAGTGGACTAATTCAAACAGCCAGTAGCTGCTAAGTGTCTATGTTTTATAGGATAAATTGTACTACCTAAGCAGGTGGGGACAACAATCACATGGTAGTAATGACCAACAGTCATACGCCTTTGTTCGTTGTCGTTAGACAGGTTCCCACAGAACTGAATGACTGTTTCTCGTAGCCGAAATCGAGTTGGTGTAAAAACCTGAGTAAGCGCCTACCACCAGAAATTATTGAGTGGCCTGAAACACACATGGAGTGTGTTTCCGGGACCATAGTGAAGATTATCCCGAAGAATAACAGCAGAACTGATACCTACCCAATCCAATGCATTTGCAAACGGGGTTCTCACGAATGACTTTACACGGTGGTGTCGTGTTGGTCAATGCCATCTGCGATGGAAGAGTAGAAAGTGCGGGTTCTAGAAAAGCATGAAAAATGACAGGGCCCGTTTGGGCAAACCAATATGCACACATAGTCAGCAGACTAGAAAATACTGTTTCTAGGCCCTAGGATACAGTCAAAAGAATTTAAAAAAGAATGTGGAACCTCAGGAAAGTTTTCTGTTGGTACGGTTTTGCTAATAGGATGAGACACTGCAACACGTATGATAGTCAAATGAGGAGACACGCACATTGGACTCTTCCTCTCTATACATGAATGCATTTTTAAACCTAATCAATTGGACAAACGGGTATCGTGCCGGAAACAGTGACGTTAAAGGGAGGCAGAGCATACTGCCACCCATTTACACTAGTATTTGGTTGGCGTCAGTGAACAGAACACTGCTGCACTTAGAGCGCTTTAGCCAACGATTCAGGGAAAGGCAAACCACAAGGGGACTTCCACTGACGGACAATAGCAGGCATGGTTCAATATCTGGTGATTAAACCGCACTACACCGTACGACTGCTGTTTTTTCTGCCTAACAGTCCGCCCAAATACAGTGGTGTGTTAGTGCAGATGGATCGTCGTTTATTTCATGAGCGTCGGCTGTATGACCAAAGCTCGGAGTAATTTGTTCCGAAAGATGGGGAACTACATGCTGTTTACCCATTTTCTCCGTCAACTGATTTATTCGAAGTGAAGCAAACCAAACAAAGCGAATTTCTCCTGTTTTCATGTAAAGTTCATAATATGCAATCTGAGGGGTCAGTTTGGTGGGAGCCACAGGAGTAACAATATATTTCATATATATATATATATATATATACGCAGAACAGATTCAAAGAAACTGTAAACGGGAAGAAACTACCTACGCCCTCAAAGATGTACAATTCTTGCCGACAAACTTCGATGGGACTCAGAAACGTCAACTCTGTAAAATGAAAGGTTTTTGTAGTAAACCACCACTAATAAGGAAGGTGAGCTACGTCCATTTAATTGTAGACCCAATTCTAACAAGTTTTGCCATCGAAGAGAACGCTGGTTGCTCAGGTAGCGTTGGCGATCATTGGTTTGTTCGCTGAGCTGGGCAGGTTGATTGCAGAAGTTCCATCACCACTGCGTTGTTAGGAAGCGGAGTGGAGTATGGAGGTGGTTTAGTGGTTTTTTGTTGAATAGTGGTGCAGCTAGTCGGTGCTGACATTCGCCCTCGGTTGGTTGTCTGATCGCGTGGCTCTGTTGCTTGGTCTGTTATCGTGTGTCCTGATTGGTCGGTGACCACGTAACATTTGAGAATGCATCTCTTACTCTCGTCTTTTGGTTGGTGGTGAAGTGGTCCCTGTCGCTGATCGCTCTGAGTACCACTTAGTGACTTTTGTTGACGTAACCCAAAAATGTTTCCTGTTTCTTGCTTAGTTACTCCGATAGTCCTCTATCTTTGAGTATTTCGGTCGAGGTATTTGTCATTTGTACGAGACAGCATATACGTTGAATCTAGTTCAAGGCGTAAGAAATTCTTCCCCGTATATTCCCATGCTGTCTTTAGGTTTACCAGATTGAATTTGTGACCCTGTTAGTCTTCATGTATGGAGATCACGGATAGGTCATGTCTTTTGTTCGTGTACAGTTTCCTTCGACGTTGTCCAACATAAAAATTGATTTGGTAATTCACATTGTTCCCTTGGTTTTATCAGTGTCGTCCCTCGAATTGTGGGCTACAGGGCAGCCTGTGAACGGGCCAATCACAATGGCGACCAAATCTAACAGGAGAAAGTAACTCAACGAGCCAATCGAATACAACACAACCGGACCATGGCGCAACGCAAATCGCAAACGGGCCAATTTACCTGTGACCGAGCTGTTCCTTAACCAGCCAGCTGCACCAAGAAGTAGCAAATGCTGTTTTACAAACTATACGAACGCAACCAGCCAGCTGCACCAAGAAGTAGCAAATGATGTTTTACAAACTATACACGCAAAAAGAAAATACCTACCCAGCCAAGTACTGATAATGTCGCCATGGCAGGTACTGAAATATCTGCGAAAAAAATTGCGAAACTTGCCGAGATTTTGCTAAATTTTGTTCACCTAGAGGCGTGCTTATCATTCACACTCGCCATTTTCGACACTAACGGGTAATAACAATTTGAAAGGTGCACCAAAAAGCAGACAGCAGGCAACGACGAGACCGTGGGAGAGTTTTGGAACAGAAGCTCCAACGGCTTGAGCCGTCATGCAGGTCTACAACAAAACTAACTAACCAGAGTTCCACTTGTTTATTTTAGAAGATGAGCTGATGATAGCCACAGGGTCGCTCATATCAGGCATGTGCGTCCGTACGTTGTTGAAGACCATAAGATTGAAACTGAACTGTGAGGATTAGGACCTTCCGAATGGTGCACTTCCTTGGTCAAACTGAGATACAACGTGCCCCAAACCTGCGTACACATGTGTACACAGCTGTTCTCCAGAACTCCGTTGCGAGTCCCAGAGCATCAGATGATTTGAAACGCAGGTTCACTTTTGCAAACTAACCTGAGGTCAGTCCGGTATCGGAATTTTTAGCATCCTTGGTTTCGAAGTCTATTATTTGGTTGACCGTAGTGTTACGATGTTAGTTTCGATCATCCGTCGAAAGTAGTCAAACCGATGGAGTCCAAGAGGGATTATTCTTCGGCTAACTTGCCCATTTGGTGAGAGCTCTTAGCAAATATTGTAAAATCGTTCGTTTCCGCTGCGATACAGCAGAATAGTCCGATCTCGGTATCGATGTGCAAGTCACGGTGGGTCCAGATATCTTTCTCAAGGCAACCACAAGCCATGCCAACTCTCTAGAATTCACCTGTTCCATTCACAATCAACCACACATCAAATCAGTCAAGAATGCACTGCAGAAATTCGTACGGCACGGTACCTCGCAATCATTCAGTTGAATGGTTGGTATTTTATCTGAGGCCTCTAGTGTGTGGTACTAAGGTCTCAGAAAAGTTTATGTCCAAAATAAAGTGAAATGTAGCTTAAACAAGGGTGGCCATAGTCAGCTGCTGTTAATCCGTCTCAGTATGCGAAAGTAAAGCGTAATCATGTGCAAACGAAATTATGTGAACCTTGGACCTCTGGCCGTGTTTGGCCTAAAACGTCTGGAATCAAATGAACCATTCAACCGGTATTGAAGTAGTACAACACCTTCGCACGACACACTTAAACATCTGTTGAGTAACAGGGTCTGATCACATTGACGAGCATCGCCGGCGCTTCGAAAACCGGCATATCCGATAATGCGGCACGATCAAAGGATCCAACAATGGGGGTGGTAGTCCATAGAACATGTGGCGGTGGACTGTTGGAACTTGAAGGCGCATTCTTTACCAGGCTGGGGCGCTCACCGACTGGATAACGTCCTTTCTTTTACCACGAAAGTTTTATGTCCAAGCCTCGCGAATACCTTGGATGCTTTGTCTGTTAGTCTGACACCCTTATTGATTTGCCACCACATGGGCGGAAATGTAGCAAACACGACGTGGTCCAGCTGAGGATACTCTAGTTTCCGGACTGGAGCGGAATAGCTAGTGGAATCGCTCCAGAAGATTAAATAAGTGCGCTATGCGAAAGTCGTGTGGAATCCGGAGACTTCTTTGTATAGCTCATGATGCTCGTAAATCGTCGATCCTGTACAGTCGACATCGTGTGGATTCATCGGGATCATGTGTGTGATACTCGCAAGTTCAGTTCATAGACTAGCCAGTAATTAACCGAAAAGTCCTGTCCGTTGGAAGATTTCGCCATCAGAACCTGGGGTTATTATGCATTGTTGCAGTGCATAGGACAGACATGGAAGGAGTATGTCCATTCGGCGTATTGAAAATGAGACGGAAGAGCTTTCCGAGTTCAACCACAATGCAACGTTCCAATTGCTACTTGTTTCAGTCTAATCGCAGCTGCTATGGCCCCGAATGCAGCGGGTTACTTCACCTCTTAGCAGGCGATGTTCGGGGGAGCTGTCTTCCTGGCTAGTGCAGAAAGGCGTACGGTGCGCGGGGGATATTCAGTTTATGCGATGGTGCCAGACAGGATGGTGTCGAGCAAACACCATCGGCTAGGTAAGCCTCCCTAAAGAACAACAGTTATATCGGAACTAACCGAACTGAGATTAGCAGACGCTAGTTTTTTTTCGTTTACTGCATTTAGAAGCGTTATAAACCTTGATATAACTACAAGGGTCTGGGTAGTCGGTTGAAGGTGACTCTTATACGCACGAAAAATCGTCATTTATGGAGGTTCGGGACGTACATAGAGATAACTGCAATAGAGCTAGGGTGTCTTTCGAAGTCCTGTGTGAAGCGCCCAACTGCGATTGTCAGGGAATCGAGGATCTATGCACTGGTAGGTTTTGATAGTTGGGGTCAGGACAAATACAACTCCGTGCCAGTCAGAGTTGAGTCCCGGTCCACTTTAGTGATGGCAGTAAAAGAAGTTGGTGTCAGGAGCTTCAATGGATTTAGATGCACAATCAGATATAGACAGCTTATGTCCACGGTGTAAAGGTGTACAGTAACAGTTTAAACGTCAACGTCAAAGACTGTTCAGAACTTCGAGCGTTTTCAATACGTACAGACAAAGCCTGTAGTATGACTACCTAGTGCGTCTGTCGTGGACCGTCAGTCAGCTCATAGGGCATGACTACACCATTTGCGTGTGGAAGCACTCCCGCGCGGATGAGCAGCGAATGAGATTTCCTCAGCAGGTAATATATGGTAGCAGGACTTTTGGGAGGCAAAGAATGACGTTATCCGCCTCTAAGACCAACCACTCACCAACACAAAAGGGCATTTAAAGGCCCAAAACCTAAGCACATTGCCAAACCGCAATCGCTTAAGTCCGGTATCATCTAAACAGCTAAACTAGAACACAGAAGTCAAGGGCAACTATGAGATTCAAAGCACAATCGCAAAACTATTTTCGGATATCCAGAATGAAGAAGAAGGAAGCCCGAGGGCTGGGATACTGCCAGGTTGCCCAAACATACACAGGGGAAGTCGAGAGGTACAGGGTGGGTTCAAACCACGGACCTTCCGATCAGTGAATTCGCGCTCAAACCACTTGGGCCATCTCGGATATCACTTTCTACTAAAGCAAGCTTCATTTTCCGATCGAATAAGTCGGCTGCCGATGGTCTAGAATCTTGGAGGAAGCAATTACGCAATGCGACGTTGAAACACTGCAGAACATGGTTGCTCTCCTTATGGTAACAAACTTAGCTTCTTCCCGGAACAGACAATGGTGGTGCTCAAGGTCGCTCCTCTATAAGGGCTATAAAGAATGGGGTTGTAACCAACATTAAAAGACGAAAGACATTGGCAAATGAAAGCGAATTCGATCTTTCGCCAGTGTCACTCGACTCTGCTGCACTCATCCGATTGGTATGGCGTATTAGTTGAAGCGGAAAAATATACTATACGCCATGAGTGTCAATCTGTCACAGTGGAGATGGATGGCGACAATAACACTATAAAGCGTGCAGCGTTCAATCGTAATATCGATTTATTGATTAACTTTCGTCCGATAACGTAAGAAGGCACTGAGCACGTAACAAATAATGCGATGGAAACCTGAATTTCAGACATCCTAAATACGGATAAGTGAATGAGGCGAAAAAAATCCCAGACAGGGAGGTTTCTAGATCACAGATCGAGAATATCGTGGGAAACATTTCAGATGTGTATCGTATGCAGGCATGCATTCATATACACTGGTTGAAGTTAAGACCCAGGTATGGAAAAATGACACTCAAGCTCAAAAGTAACCTCAAAGCAATCAGATAAAAGAGCTGCAACAATATCCGGATCCAACAGTGCTCTATAACTCACCAAAGGCTGTGAAGCAATGCACCATCTGCTTTGGAATTATAGCACTCTGGTGGAACAAGGCGATTAGGCGTTTGAGACAAAGCGAAAAGGCGGATCCTAATAATCATCTGTATTGATCCAGTGTGAAGTGAATCATTCTAGACTCACCAATTGTGGCGGAACCGCGCATAGTGCTACAAGCGTTGCGTTCAAGCACGTTAACAGAGCATCTACGTCAATCGTCAACAGCTCAAACGGATTCCGGAACAAGGAGGATTTGGGTTGTATCAAGCACACTCCAAGCCTGAAATCATCCCCCACCGATTCCGCCAATTTTGACACAGCGGATCCATCTGGGTTGTCAGACGAGGAACTTGTGGGATTGGGACAGGAGAGGGGGACACGGTAAGGTAGACAATCCAAGAAATGCGCGACTGGGTGACCCAAAGGATCGTTTCGCCCACGAGCAGGTAAGCTGGTTGGTGCGTTGGCTAACGTTGCGACGAAATAGGCGAGCAAAGTTAGATCCCGATGATCCGGTGCACCAAGATTGGATTGTACAGAGATTTGGTGTTTACTTGTGCGAAACAGACATCGAGAAACGAAATAAGATGATCAGCCAGCTACTCTCAAGTGAACAACACTTATTCGGGCTCAAAACGACTCACCATGACAGAAGCAGGTAGTCTGAGAAACATGTGAAACGCCCAATGGAATACTCCCAAGTGACCTGAAAAACTCTTATTCATTACCTTCTTGTGGCGGTGCGTTTCCTAAAGTGAAAGTGCGAAAATGAGTGTCAGTCGTTGTGGCCCGGTTCCTGGCCCATCGCTCAGGTAGCAGAGGACTCCGATGTTTTGTTGTTTGGCTTATCCTTGCATAAAACATTGAATTCGTCGAACAAAACAACCCGGTTTGAACATGGCGCAAATTTCACAGGGTAGATTAATTCCACCAAAGTTAGGATTAGTGAATTAAAATAGGCAGTCTGAATAACTCGTTAACCTAATGGTTGGCTAGTTGAACTGACTGGATGAAGAACCCTGTATGCTGTCGAGAAGTACACTCATTTGCAAGTCGATATGGTTTTCACGAGCGACTCAACTGAATCTCTCGTTTATGATATTCTACATAAGGTTGGCGGAAACTCGGGGACTGCGCCTACCTGATGAGCCCCAAGAAGGGCGAAACCGGTCGTCGGCTATCGAAGAGTTTTCAGCAACCTTGTGAGTAGTTTCCTTTATGAAAACCCTGTATGCTATTTGTATGCTCACGTTGAGGTCCAGTGGTTCAGGTGCTTTTTCATGCTAGAGTGAAACCAATAGGTTTTTTCGCACGGCAATGGACAAACAAGGGTCATTTTTAGATCTTACGCGACCCGTGAAATTAGCGTTCCCAAAATATGTCGCAAAGCTCCAGCAATGGCTGAAACTGAAGCTCCAGAAGAAACAGGCGGCTTGCAACTCTTCGCACATTGTCAAAGGATTTCGAGGGAACTATCATTACATGAATTATAACAGCATGCTAGAAACCTCGTTTATTTTCGGTTCGTTTAGCTATTCACGAGAATGTATTTTTCCCATATTAGTAAACACGAGCAAAATCGAAAATAGTTTCATTTCGGTTCGAAAGGAGGATTTGAAATCCTCCTGAGTGCAATATTGATTACAGTGTAGTTAGAATTCATTGATTTTCAAGTAAATGACGCCGAGGAGGAAGAAAAGAAAGGAAAATGTTTCCAATTTAGGGACCTTCGTCATCGCGGACTTTGTGCAGTCGGAAAGTGTGCTTGTGGTACGGTGCCTATGAACGAACTTTTTCCAAAAACGAGTAAGGCAAAATGACCGTGTGTACTGGCAATTTGAAGGTAGACATGTTGCCGCTACTAACACGATTCTTCTCTTTCCTGAGTGCAATTCATCTATGGATGATTTCCTAACTCTGTGATTTTGTTTTCTAATGCTAAGCGGGATGCTCATCTGATGGAAATCCTGTAACTTCCCTGGGTCAATCTTACTTGTCTTTGTCTTTCAAGCCGTTCCTATCAATGCATTAGTCTCCGTTGACGAACTTACCTTTTCGCATGCCCCTTGTTACCTGAGAATGCTACTTGAACCCAAACTGCACGAGATTAGCGAAATACACCATACAACATGAACGAACGATTAAGTTGGGTTCCAGGTAAGTCTCACGTCAAAATCATAATGGTGTGCGAGTGAGTGTAGTTCGCTAACCTCGTGCGAAGTGGGTCCAAGTAGAACATTAGGTTGATGGAAACTTGGGGACCGCGCTAAACTGATCAGCCTCAAGAACGGCGAAACCGGTCGTGAGCTGTCGAAGAGTTTTCGACAACCTTATGAATAGTGTATTACGTCCAAGCGATTCCATTGCTTGTCCTTTCTTCGGCTACTGGTCTTTACACCAGTGTTTCCATACCAAACATTATTACATACGTTGGGATTCATCTTGCCTGGTTGTGTCTGTTCGAGCGAGAATTGGTCTTTACACCAGTGTTTCCATACCAAACATTATTACATACGTTGGGATTCATCTTGCCTGACTGGAACTGTTCGTAGCGAGAATTCAAATGAGACACTTCCTTTGTTTTATCTAATAGTCTCCTGTGACCCTTCAACACCCATCGCTTGCGTTTAATTTTTACAATTGGACCACGTTCTTCAAAAATAAACAATAATGATTGCAGGCTCAATAGCTTCGCTAGCTGTCGGTCAAATTGGCAATGTGCTTTTCATTACCTCACTTGCAAATGTTGCGTCATACAGCGTTCTAGATGGGTTACTTTCTGGAGCATGTCTGTATATGGGTGTAGATGGTGTAGACCATACACCTGTAATGGGACCAGGCACACAAATTGCCGCTAAGCTTCCTGGAGAATAACAGCGCCCAATCAATAAAACAGTTGCATCGTACTGACGACCAATGGACAGTGTTGAAAACCTCTAGCTAAAGTATTATGGGCCAATCAGACTATCTGAGAAAATACTACATTGCGAGTAATCGGGAGAGTCAAAAAGAAGCGGATACTTATCTCACCAAAACGACTGACTCTAGCAGACTTTGGAGAAAGTGGAGCGTCATCAAAAAATGAACCAACGTGAATTTATGAAAATTCCAGCACCAACAACGATGCAAGGGGACAGCCTCACAGTGGCCACGACTAACGCCGAACACAAAATTTCATTTTCGAAACCACCATTCACTCATTTCTAGGAGGAGTCTAGCCTCGATATAGTGCGGCACAAAATGCGAAAAGTACAGTACAGAACCAAGACCATCAAACAGTTAACGAAGGGGAAGTCCTCTGGAGAGGGTAAACAAGCTATTCTCGAGTCTTTCTTAGGATAATCTTGCTCAAGCAGGAAAACCCAATCCAATTTACACTGTTGAGACACCACAATATTAATGCCGATACTCGAAAAGTCGATAAAACGGTCTGTCTGTTGTTGGAGGAGCCATTCTAACTAATAATGTATGCGGAATATCTGCGTTGGGTCTGCTTTACTACACAAGGCATGAAAACAAAGTCAAACCAAAGAAGATTCCACCCCAGAAAAGGTTGGGCGGACTCTATGACGGACAGTAAAATATCGGTTGGAATTTGAATACTCCGTAGCATACCCGCATCGGCCTACAAGTTAAACTTGATTTGATTAATCACGAATCTCTGTGGACAATCCTTCCAGCCTGTGGCTGGAAGCTCATTAAGATCCCTAGTGGATGGAAGTTCGCGCTCGGGCGCGGAAATCAGTAAGCCCATGAGACAGTACGCTATAAGACCACCATTAACACCAGTTGTTTCCAACTCTGAATCGACTGCGTACCTGAACTGTCACAAAGAAATGTTCCGGCCTGAATTGGGTAGTCCATAAAGATGGCAATCCCGCAGAACGGTAAGGAGAACTCCAAAGCGTAGTGAATAAGCCAACTCGCTATACAACATTCGTACCATTGTAGGAAAGTTTCTCCTCAACTGTACCTCAGGAAGTACACAGGAAGTGAACTAATCCCAGTAATGACCATTAAACATACGGGCTTTATTATCTTGTCTAATAGGGACTGAAAACTGGAAGTTCACTAGAATTCGACAGTAAGCAGCGTTTCTTGAGGCCACTGAAGGCCTTAAAGAGAACATCTGAGACCTGTCCGGGCGCGAAAAAGATGGGTATTCAACACAACAGTTGCCTCTCGGAGCACTTAATGCCCAGAAGCCGAGTCTTCAACTAGTGACGCTCCAAACGAATCCTGGAAGTTTGCTAATCAGAAACGGTGTCATACCACTAGATTCGGAATGGCTATCGTGGCTTTTTTAAACGATATCTCCAGTTAGATATGCACTCCTGATACCCAGATTTTTAGCAGACAGTGATGCTACTGCCTCACAAGCCACTTTAAGACTTGGTTTGACATACGACACTGAACAAATTGGCCCTCATATCATGCTGGGAACCAACAGACCTGGACACTGATCAACTATTGAGCAGTGGCTGTGGGGGACATTTGTGAAGTGGACTCATACTGCCGCTAAAGCGAAGCAATTACCAAAGCGAAATATTTGAATATTTCGCACAAACAACGCCATAACATACAATTCAACGAACGTAGGGCGTATGGCCAAAAAGTTATTGAATTCTCGACAGCTGGATGTTGAAAATTTGACCGTTTCATGAATAAAGAAATAAACTGGAGGGTGAAACAGTTACAATTCGCGTGGAAGATGGGCCATAGTCCACCAAATACACACGGCCCCCATGCAGGCCAAAAAGGAGCCAAAAAGGGCTACCAAAGAAAACAAAATATCAATCAAAAAGGACTGTCATTGGTTTACGGTTCTGTTCCACAGTGAAATCTATTCTCGCGAAAGATCTCACAGTACCCTAAAAACAGCGAATTTCTCTACGGAGCATACAAAGTCCAAAGATATGGCAAAAGTTACTGCCCCAAGCAAGGAATTAGCTTAGTGAAGGCAACTAGGACTAGCAACTTGTCCAACCGGTAAAATTAGCCATTAAACATATTCCCGTGCTAAAAACGGGACAGAGCATGCTTTAGAGCATTTGTCACTATAGTGGACATTCCATGAAAACTGCTCAAGATTAAGATGAAGTTGTAAACTTACAGTGTGATCACTATGTCCACTGTAAAGAGAACTGATACATGCAAAAAGGTTCCAATCATTATGTCCCGTCTTAGCTGCCCACCAATGATACATTCAGATAAGAAATGATGGACGAACAAGTAGAGACCTGGCGCATGTTGTGAAACCTCGTAAGGTCAATGAAGAAGACTGGCATCAGTTAGTGAATGTTCGAAAAGGTGTGAATCCAGTTTACTATCGACTGAGACCTAGAAAGTCGATAGAGTTGGTGTTGATTCCGCCTGCGAATCAACGGTGACCAGCGGTAACTTTCCTTGTTTTTTTTGACTACTCATGAGTAACGTGACTCGCATCTGTTTACTATGACGCCGTTTCGTTTCTTTGCTCGTTTTCTCCCTGTTTCGTCCCGGCTGAGGGTCTGTTGTTGCCTCAGTAACTGATGCCAATACTTAATTTACCCGTCCGTCATTGCTTGCAAGTTCGTCTGGATTGCACCTATTCACGAGCGTCCACTCCGACCGAAAAGCGCGCCTACCGGGTATCGAACCCAGAGTCTGCAGACAGCAGGCGAACACGTTACCGACTACACCAACCGGACGTCCAACACAGCTGTTTATTTTGTATTATCCATGCATCACGCCTGCCAGATAGCCCCTGCTGAGCTTTGTTTTAAACGGCCGAAACCGCGCAATCTGACCTGTCGCGCGACACGAGCGGCTGCGTCGACACCGACCGAAAGACAGTCCCTCAAATCCCGAACGTACTGACTCCTGCGCCGTTACGGCCAACTCATACTGTCAGACTGCCCCGATATGTATGTTTGCACATCGTTTGGTACTTACTTCTTGTTGCCCCTACAGAAACCCGTGCTGTAACAGTGACTGCTTCCCGCTCCTACAGATTGCGTCATTGTTGATTGTACGTTTTCTTAATTCATGATGCTTACTAATTCGTTTTTCTGTAGAACCAGTTCCTGTCAGTCTTCAATATATCATCTACTGCCCCACGTCTGTCTGCTCCTATTGACTACTGGCCACGAACTGCGTATAATCTAATAGTCGCAATCGTCCTGTGAGATCCTTAACCGTCCGGATCTTACAGTTGGTGTGGATGGATTTAATGAAGGACCTTTCAGTCGGCATTTGCATCGGTTATCTCAAAAGTTGACCACGGCCAGAATAGAAATGTGAGAAAGTGGTATAGCCCAGAATGAAACCGTACATTAGGGTATTCAAAGCTAGGAGGACTGCAATGCCCTGAAATCGGCAACGCAGCAACAGCGGTTGAATACAAAGAAAAAGTAACACAGGACACACTGGTGTGATTATCTAAACAGATAAGACCTAGTTCTTGAAAAAAACTACTCATGCGGTTGCTGAAACATCTTCGACAGCCCAACATCGGTTTCGCCCTTCTTGAGGTTCATCAAGTGGGCTCAGTCCCCCAGTTTTCGTCGACCTTATGGTCTACTTGAACACGAATTACATGAAATTCGCAAAATACACTCTCTTGCATTCTAAATAAATTGCTATTTGTTTATCCTATTGTTTTTTTCGCGAAGGCTATTTTATATCATCTCCCGAGGATTTTCCCCCTTTTCGATGAAAAATGCAGTCTTCCCTGTCCACGGTAATTGCCTTCGCCCGCGAATACGGAGACAGTATTCAAAGAACGGACATAGATACATGGAATGCCAGATAATGTTAGCGACAAAACTTACGATCTGGATAGTGAGGGGATGACTGCAACCTGGTGATTGAATTCTTGGTCAGAGAGGTCCTGTGAGGTGGAACAATAAACTGAAGTTGAAACAGTATCATAGGATGAAGAAAGTGTGAAACACAAGTGCTGAGGTCCTTTACTGAAACAAACATTGTGATCGAGGATACTTGTGTAGGAAAAAGCCGTCATTCATTCAGTGTTTCCGCCGAATTCCTATTCACGCGAAATAGAGAAAGTACACCCAGAACCGTTTCATAAAGCATGAATCCAAACCACCAACGAGTACTGCACGAATTACACATAATGGCCACCAAAATAGAACCCAGTCACGGCGAACAACTTGGATCAAACCCCCTTATCTGACCAAGACTTCCCCGGTCGGAATTACTACGATTGTACCGCATGAGATCGTTAAGTGTTCGACATTAGGTAAAATTCACCTTTCATGTCATCATTTCTGAATATGCTTCGTGTGCAAGCGGTAACCATCAGTGGTTGTTATTCGATTTTGAGAGCAAGGATGAACCTGGAATAATAGACACAGAGGTCGATACTAACAAGATGCTAGTCAATTATGGGGAGTCCCGCAGTCAACATCCGAGCCACCATGTCAGGCCACAGCACACATAAAACAACAGAAAAATTGGTCAGCGCATAAGCGAAAGCTGCCTTCTGACCAGGATGTTTCTAACGGCGAACGATTACGGCTGCCAGACGAAACGGGCATCGAGCTTTACAAAACTATTTCCAAGTGTCTTCGACTGTGGTGGCCGAATTAAGCGTAGAGGTTAATTGCAATGCCCTACGAGTGGATCTGTCAGTCCTTAAAGAAGACCTACCCATAGCTAATAACTGGAGCGAAAGAGGCGAATATGCGAAATAGGAAGCGGTTTGTTTCCACTTACCGTCTCACTGTGTACAGTAATTAAGGCGATCCAGCTGGTAGAATAATGCAGCGTACGACGTGCTCATTTGTAGTGAGTTGTAGTTGCGCGATTCATGGTTGTACATGGACTGAGGCACCGCATGTATGCCCAAGCCTAGATAGGAGGGCGTTTGGGGCGACGGAATAAAACATTCGACTCGGAAAAACAAAGCGAGACAATGGTCGGAGCCCTCGTGTAACTAACAAGGCTCTCAGCACTAACCACCTAAGATTCGGTATCAGGTTCTGCTCCCTATATTTAGTGACTGTGATCGAAGACATAACTGAACATCGTGATTAGCATCACTGTGGTGCTTCGGCACATTCATTCCTTGGTACCTTGTCTGTAAATTGCACTCTAGGCGTTGTCTGAACTAACCTGCTTCAAAACAAGCTAGGTGGTTCGTTTTATCGATGTCAGAAAAGAATCTCGCTGAACGATATATATCCCGATGCCCTGAACCCGAAACGTTTTCGTCCGAATGGTATGGTCTTATAGCAAGCACCTTGAAACGCCATTCTAGGCTACTCACCAGGCTTAAAGCTTCACATCTCATACCACTGAGTAACTGGAACATCGTGAGTCACTGCTGCGATGTCAGCAGTTTAGATTACAGTCACAGAACTAGACAACTAAATTGATTGGAGCCAACACAAGTCTGCGCCAACCTCACGAGGCACCACCACTGCACAAATTACGATGCGTGCTTTAAATACACACACGCGCAAACAGATTGATGCTTACCCGCAAGTGCCATCCTTCCATGGAACGAAGGAAGTTTGCATCCATAACTGGGAGATTCTGGCGAGCTCCAGGTTGGTCCGCATTAAGTTGGATCTGGGCAACAATATCCGGTTTGACGAGAATAATTTGCTCAGTTAGGAGTGTAAGACCGAGGCCTGAAAAGAAATAAGTCATCCACAACTGCTATACCCTGCCGACAATTGTATGAATGGGAACATTGTTCGTCATCACTGGACGTAATCGAGTATCTTAAACCAAAACTGACGAATTCTGATGATTGCTACATGCGGTTCTTAAAAATTCACCAGATCAAATAGTGAATTCAAATTTACGCCCCAAATCCGATTGGACTAACTTAGGTTCCCGTGGTTAGATGGTAATTAATGAGAGAAGTCGAACCTCGATCGATTAATGAGATCAACCATTAAAGGGACGATATAAAATTAACTCAATGGCTCAATGGTAAGCCACCAACTAGTTTAGGTTTTCAATTCATTGGCTGTGTACTAAAAAGCTAAAAATCCGGTACAAAAATAACCGAAAGAATAAGGCGGACTTGGTTGAAGGAGGTCAGTATAACATCCACGGTATCGGTCAGGACAGCCGATATATGCACAAACTAATTCGGGACTTGGAAACCGATATCCCAGGGGACCGTTTTATGAGTGAAAGGATTGGAATAATGTATGGTCAAAAAATTTGGGTTCAATCTAGTGTTTCACACGCAGAAACTCATTCAGTGAGTGTATGTCGACGGGTCCGTCTAGGTGTGCCCCATTTCACCGAGTATGACACCTATAGAAAAATCTAACACTATTCCACCATGAATTTACTCGAAGTCGGCAGTAGAAAGGAGCTTGATAGGATTGTTACTCATGTCAACAGGTGTCTGCTCAATTGTGTAGAGAAAATTAAACGGAAATATGGAGTATATGTAAGAAGTTGGGAATAGCGGGTGCATGCAAACAGCCAACAAACCTTGAGTCCATCCCATCGTATTAACAAGAAGCGGAGGTTTGGGATCAGGCATCGACTGGTACATCCCGAACACATAGTGCATGCAGTCCACATAGAACTTCGGATTGTCCGAGGGAGTGATACAGCCAACAAAACATTGACTAGAGTAGAGATTATTAAAACTCACTGTAAAATGCAACAAGGAAGACCAAGGGTAGACATCGACAAGGTACGATATCACACACACAAGGAGCCAGTTGATAGTTAACAAGTAGTCGAACAGATAGGGAGCACGAGCAAAACAACAAGATAGAGAAATTTTAAGAGAGTGCAGAATAGGTAGTATGACGCCGCAGAAAGCTAACGCAGCTTCAACAGTGAATTTAGTGAACTGTCGGGTATTAAAAAGCAATTTCCAAGTGTCTACGATTGTGTTGGCCGAATTAAGCGCAGATATCGTAGCTAATGGCAGTGAACTATGAGTGTAGCTGTCATTCCCTAAAAAAGACATGCCCATAGCTACGGGGTGGAGTGGGAGAGAGAAACGAATGTGTGAAATAGGAGGAATGGGTGCATCGGCAGTAGTCTGTTTCCGCTTACCCGTCTCACTGTATACAGTAATTAAGGCGACCGAGCTGGTAGAACAATGCAACGCATGTGTTCAATTGTAGTGGTTAGTAGTTGTGCGATTCACGGCTGCGCGAAGCTGACTACAAACAGTATTCTCTGCGACCAGCACCGACTACGAATCGATATGTGTGATTCCAAGAAGCTTAAGTGAGCGACCTTGGTATGCATGTTGCCTGCATGGATAATGTCAGTGCTTCTTTGATTGACGAATAAGCCCGAATAGCTCGACAAAAAGCGTCCCTACTCGGCGTCAGAACTACAGCCTTTTGTGGGATAGGCCGACACCACAAACGGGCACCGTTTTCTATGTCGAGGCACTGAGCTTGATTGAGCTGCATAACAGAACAGCGCAAGAATGACTATTCACTGAAATCCGATACAACAAAGCGCGTTGAGCTCTGGAGATGAATGCAACTTCTACACCATACACTACACGAGTCACTGCTTCAAGATCATCGGACACAAGTGTTTCAAAGACACAGAACACATCAATTTTGAAGGAGTACAAGGTCTCCGAGGACAACGCCTATTTGCGAATTCGACATAGACTAGAAACGTTGGAGGCCCCTATGTAGAAAGGATTTTGCGTTTATGGGCAGTAGGATGCAAAAGGCATACCCGTCAAATAACTGACAACCAATCGATCTGGCAAGGTTTGCTTGTATGATGAGAAAAGATTGGGGAGCGACATCGGTGGACAAAGAATGATGCGAGCAAATGATACTGGTTGAACAGGCCGAGGAATGGGTTGGTTGATGGACCAGACCTTGAGCCTTTGACTAAAAAGTCTGACCACAATGGAATGGGAGAATAAAGGGTTCTATTCGATGACTCTGCCCCTATTCTCTGACTTGAAAGTCTGAACCGCGAGGCAGCGGGCAGTAGGGTTTCCTTTGGGAGACCTCCCCGGTTGCGCACAGGTGTCTTTTGAAAAACACTACCCTCTGGTTTGTATTTCGGCCGTAATAAATAATGCATCGGCGGTCACAATCAACCGTTTGATCGAAGAGTGCGGGTTTTAGGGCAGACCTTTTCTAACCCATCCTTCCTCGGGGAAGGGTAACACCGCTGCTTCAATGCTGGTCGCCAGGGGAAACACGTTACTGCCTTCATACTCCCATCGCAGAGGACAGTACGGCTTTACTCCCAGATTGCCTCGTAGCACTATTACTCGTAGTATGGGACCTCGCTGCTCTTGATGTGACTGATCCTCTGTGGTCTTCCTTGCATGGCTGCACCTAGCGGAACGAAGTTCCAGCCACCGTAGTAAGCGAGATCACAGAAGCACTCAAGCCAGGCTACGAAGGCAAAGTGGAAAATTTATGCCTCTTGACCATAGGCCTGCAGGCGTTTTCTTGTGTTAAATTACATCGAAAATTTATTTAGACAGCAATCTAGTCTTTAGTAAAAGGAGTTTTGCAGCAAACAGATAAAGAGAGAGGTCCATTTCAAGATTATAAAAGTAGTTTCTCCCAGTTGAAGTGAAAGGGCGATGAACTTCTACGGTCAGTTAGTCAGTTCGTCTCCAATATGGTTTAAGGCTTCAGCAACAAAGTCTCACACCGGGTAGTTACAGCTTTGGACTGCTGAAATCTTTTTCGCCAACTTCAATCACTACAACCGATCGAGTGAGGTCATGCTCCAAGAGAGACTACGTTCGAAATATAACATAAAATCGACGTCCGACAGTCCCAATATGGTGTAAAATCTCCCTTCGAAGATAGACCATCCCCAGGGGAGGTCAGGATATTCCCTGCCTCCTGTTTTATTCTGGGAGGATTGCCGTACTACTTTCACGCATGGTTTATTACGCTTCTTTGCACTTGTGTTGTGTAACCTAGTAAGGACAACACCCCAGTTGCATTCCTGTTTCCGCGCTGTGGATAGCGTAGACTTGCCTTGTAGTGTTTTGGGCTGGATGCCCGATCTCTGTGATTTGTTTCGATCAGTATCTTCAGATGGAAGCCGCCCTTAAAAAGTAATTTTTATCCGAATATTCAGGACTTTTAACAAAAACAAAACTATTACTTGCTGGTTGTTGATCTATTCGCCGGGCTTGGCAATCGACCTGCAACATTTCAATACATTATCAACTTCTCAAAAGCTATGAGCTGAATACAACTTGCAACTTACGACTAATGACATGAAATACCTGCACTACCAACGGTTAACAGCTCACTGTTATTGAAGTTCAAGCTGATGCAGAGGAAATGATGTCTCATCCGCACTCGCGCACTAGCCTCAGGCTAGGCTTTGATGTGGGGCGTATACATAGAATGGAAATGTGACGAACCAGACACAACATGAGAACTCACCACAACGGCTTTGGTTCTCCAAGCAGTTGATGTACAAAAGGCGGTCCAAACAAAGGTTTCTGAACGACCGTAAGACTGATCAAGGCACTAGGAGTGAATTCAGGCTGACCAACATCGAAATCCAAAACCGCGATTTCCGACTGTGCACCACCAACCGTTAGATAATAATTGATAAGGAATCGTAGTAGTGAGGACTTTCCTGCTCCTTTCGGTCCCGCGACGAGTAACGTAGGAGGCTTCGACGCAGAATGCATAACTTCTGTGGATAAAGATTCGTAGTGCGCCGTACTAAGTGCCACAAAATGCTCTGCTAACTGTACCATTTCCGACGATACACGGAATCCGTGGGTTGAGTCGCACAAAGAGAATGAAAATCCGAGAGAGCTGACAATGCCTGCGTCAGTGGGACTGGAGTAATCTGTCTGAATGGTGTACAGATTTTTGAACTTTTTAACACTACAAACCGAGTCCGTGAGCCGACAAGTGTAGGTTAGGAATAGCAAAACGGACACCTCAGGTTCCATTTTTGTGCAAGCCTCCCAAATTAGGTCAACCATACTGGGCGAGACAGATGACAAAACATCTGAAATAGTCCTTTGTAAGGCCTCTTTTGTTACAGCATTCGAAGATTCCTTTGTGCCGAATTGGCGTATGGTGATCGGAGCATGAGATATGGGAGAAAATAAGACATGAGTAGCACGTACGTCCGCTTTCACAGATGCACCCAGAATGTGTATCGGACTGCCCAAAAGATGCACAAGTCTGGCTTTCCCACTCATTAAGAACGATACGTTGGATCCCAAAATGACAACGGAAAACGCGGGTTCATTTGAGGGATTGAAAGTGAGAATTCTCAAGTTCCTCGAGAGCTTATCGCATACGAAGTCGTTGGGTATTTGAGCAAACTCTGAACTCAGAAGTTCAGCATCTGCGTCTGTCCTCTTGCGTCGTTTGCTGTCGTGGGCAGACATCATAATAACCCTAACGATGCGAATAAAAGCTGTTCGGTGCACCGGCACCCGATGTAAAAAGAAGCAGGTGAAGGAAAACTAGAGAAATGATTGCTGGGTCAGTAGAATGGACAGGTATCAAATACAGAATTACCTGGAATGCAACGCTAACGATGTTTCCGCTCAGAAATATGACACAATTTTGCGAATGTACTGAACAATGGAAAGCAGCTGACGGCTGAAACGACTGGAAAAAGTTCATTACGAATACAGAAGTCACCAAATGCTATCTAGTACCTCACATCTCTCCTTCAGCGTTTATATGATAAGCTGAGCAAGCATTCACCAACACCGAAAACATTCTCAAAAGACGACTAAAGAAGTTTGTGACTAATAGTAGCTCACCATCATCAACAAGAATAGCGGTGCTCCACTGTTGTACCTGTCAGAACAGGCACCATATTCCGCACATCAAAATAATCCTGAGAGTGACATGATTAACAAGAAGTTTGGCACAAAAGTAGACATGATGGACGAAGCAACTCTAAAGAGGTGAATAGCGCCAGAACGGTTGTTTGATATCAGAGTCCATATGGTGGAGTAAACAGCAAAGCTCTCACCTAGTATTGTGGTATTCATATGTGGGTAGGTGTCTTCATACCTTCATCTCCTATTCCCGCTCACTGTTCAAAGTGTCCGATGCCTGCCATGCTGATGAATTCCAAGCTGACTGATCAAGTCAGCAACAGTTGATTGCGTAAAAGTGTGGTAGATTTAGAGGTGCTTTGTGATATGGTCACGTTTTAGCAACTCCATTGGAAGGTATTGGCGACAAGTCCTCTGAGACTAGCAGGAGAATGGTGAAAATTCCCCCACTAATCAGACAGAGTGCAAAGATTAACTGCGAAGTGACTGGCAATAATCATTATACAGTTTCGAAATGACTCGGTGGTTAAAATATAAAACCATTAAATTGGAAGGTACGTAGTTCGAACCTAACTCTGGCTTTCTGGATGGAATTGAGTAACCTGGAAGTACTTCAGAACTCTTGCTTCCTTCGGGTGGCACGGACCTATGCAAAGAAAGCAATTCGTTTATTTTAATAAAATTATCATATGCAGAATAATGGAGAAAATTTTAACGGAGCTGTGTTGTTGTATTGCTGAGACTTGACCTGTTCGAGCACAGAAGTAGGACGTTTTCGACAGCCGTTGTCTCAGGACCATACCTCGTATGGGCTGGTATCCGAACGTCCGTAACCAAGCAATTACAAAGCAAGTTTTCGGTTGGGCAACGGGAACTTTCAGCACCACAAGCTGCGTTGGTTGGGCCATGTATGGTGTATGCCGAACCATCGTCTGCCGAAGAGTGTTATTTTATGTATCCAGAAACAGAGAGGTGATCGACCCTTGAGCTGTGAATCTGGGGAGCATTGTACAGCTGATTCATTTCACTCGTTTTATAAGTTATAAACCATATACTGAGAGTACACTCAGCCAATCAATGAATTCAACCAGTTGATCAGCCACAGACCGTGTACCATAGGCACATTAGTTCCGGCTGTTACAGTTTCTATCACTGGAACGTGAAAGAGTGCAGGAAATAAGGCCACGCCTTGGGAGGCAATTGCATCTTTAGTTAATAAGGGAACTGAGTAGCCATGCACCGAAGGCGATGGCTTTGATGCACGAGCACTGCTGACTGCGCGATAGGGTCATTACTGCTCGTGTCATTAGCGACTGGTAAGTTAAGCCCCGGGGTCCCCATCCAGGGAGGCGTTAGTTGTCAACTGGTTAGTGTTTTCGTGCTTCTTTGGCAAGTCGTACACTGCCCACCTATCGGTCGCCTCCACTCAGCACAGGGATGGGCAAAAAGGGGTGTGTGAAGCAAACGGTCTTCTGGTTTGCGGAACACGTGTTCTAATAAGCGTAACCAAGGAAGCGTAAGTAATATATCTATCGCGGGAGAGCTGATTCTTCCTAGGACCATCTGGCGTACCGGAGAAGTACTAATCCGACGTTCTCACCAGAACCGACCAGCATAATCATCATCATGGACAGCACGACATCAGTGATCAACACTGATGCTTCGATGCCGTACAGCCATGATTCACTTGGAAGCCTTATTATGAAGAAAAGAATAAAGGCGGACAGTGAAGTGGCTTAGAGCTAGCTTACTACAATCATCCCGTGCCTACACTTCCTCAAGCATTCAGGCTAGAAATTGACAACAAGAACGCCATTGACATCGATCAGGAGTTATATCTCTAACCAGACGCACTGGTGAACACGCCGTCTCCATCCTGGAGGGCAATTAGCACCGAAAGCACCCGAAAGTTTCGTAATCTATTTCATACCCTTTTGCCAATTCAATGGTTGACCACCTCTCTGCTTCCGCCACTCTGATTTGGATACAGAAAACGACACTCTTTGGCAAGCCATGGTTTGGCATACGCAATGTGTGGCCTAACCAACGCAGCTACTGGTGCTAGACACTCTTCAATGTAATTTCCCGTTGCACAGCCGAGAACTCGCTTTCAAATTGCATCTCACGCACTCTCCAACACCAACCCACACGAGAGATACGCTTGTCGAACACCTGAGGATATCTGAATTCCACTGATCGAACAGACGCACAACAAAACAGCCCGAACTATAGACTTCTACAAGAGTCCTTTGAGTTTCGGAGATATACACCTTTGATGCCATAGTTGTGTCAAATTAGCAAACGTGACCAGATCATTGACCTCATATGTCAGACTACAACCAGAAATAATAGAATTTCCAAGGTAATTAAAACGCCCCACAACTTCCAGTGCCCCTCCCTGGATTGCAGGTGGTGTGTTTGGTGACTGCAAGTCAATTAGCATGACCATACAGTTTGTGGGTGCAAAGTGCGTTCAAAAACACCTGCTCCTTCTCCCCTTAGAAGACGAAAATCAGTTCTCCATATTCCAGATCGACAAGGTTTTCGTCACAGGCTATTTGGACACCGGGTTTTTAAGATCTTCCAGCGTTCGCCTCATTATTTATCGATGAAGAAGTTAAATAAGAATGGAGAGAGTGGGCACCTCTAACGGACGCTGCTTTACGTACAGAAGCTTAGCTCTCCATATACTCTCACATGTCTAGAAGTCTGAGAATACAAGGAAATTATTATGTTATGATCACAAACTTCCAGGGCATCCCTCGATGGGCAGTCGCGACAAGGGGAACAGACCGGTCAATCAAATGGAATGCGCCTTGGAAATCTAAGAGTACTAAATTTGTGGGTCGTTTGTACAAATGGCGTTTTTCTGGCACCTGACGAAATGTGAAGATTTGGTCAACGCAACCCCTACCAGGCCGGAACCCCGCTCGCTGCTCTCGAGTCAGTGTTTCACGAGCCACAATGAGGCGACAAAGCATAAGTAACGCTAGTAGTCTCGTTACAACCGGGGTTAAGCGGATACCCCTGTCGTTGCCACACTCAGTACTGATCCCTGACAATTTCGTTGACGGCAGATTTTCGAGGTCCGGTCGCGCAGATCAACTGAAATAATCTTCAGACTTTACGGGCTTTCTGGGCCTCTTCCATTTCCTTAGCTTTTCGTGTCCATCAGACTTCACGGTCGGCCCGCACGCTCACTTTCACTTGACATCTGATGACTCGTCGGGTCAAGTTGTGTTCGTAACAAGCTGGTCTATTTCTCCGAAGTGTGTGTTCCGAAACGAACCGCAGTGGGCTATTGATTCGTGCCACCGATAACTGATGGCAATAAGATCTATTTAAGTTCGTGGCCGGCAAGCCGTTGGAGGACATCATGTGGCCAGAAGACTTCGACTACTTCGGTAGTACTGCATGAAAGCAACCTTCGGTCAGTGCGCAGCTGAAGAAATCATTCACCACTGTCTGTACGTACCGATGCAGTTCGTACCGTCTCAGCTGCTCTAAGTCTACCCGCTTGCGCATTCCTATCTCAGGAGACCACAACGATATCTGAGCTTCTAGCTCGTCGCAACAGGGAATCCAGGGCGTCATCGAAACAGCTGGAGCGCAAGCAGACACGACAAACAGATAGCAATCAAATTGTCCTTGAGATTACTTCAGAAATCGCAAGACGAACCGCGCAGAGGCGACTATCAACGGGTATGCATTCAAGCAAAGATCCTTCCGCCCGGTGACTTGGTGCGATACCTGCATGTCGTGCCACAGCAGCCTCTGGATCGCCAGAGGCGTGCAGCCGGGAACCAGTGGAGAGTGATGTGGCGGTTAACTTAAATCCTGGATTCTTGTCTAGGATACATAGCACATGCCAGGCGAATCCCAAGTTTCAGAGGAAGCCAGAAAAGTTTCATGCGCGACATCAATAGAAAAGTAAAGAGGAATGGTGACAGAGGGTGCTGTATATTATTTCTTTTTCTCACCGCTACACCGATTCTCGCTTTAGTTCGGAGTGCCGAAGTTTTGGATGAATAAAGCCAGAACAAGAGGGCGATTAGGGTCCTCAACCACATTCCTTGGCTCACAAGCTTGACCGCAAGGCAGAGGTGCAAATGCATTGTCACCTTCATAGGATAAGTCGCCACACATGTCCCAACTCCGAAGACTGTGTTATCCAAACCTCTAACCATTGATCAACCCTGAATGAGACACTGCGAGTGTTACACGGACACCCCTGAGTGTTGGTCAATGAATGACGGAAGTACACAAGCTGTCGCACCGCAATAAAGTCATCATCATCATCATCATCATCATCATCATCAAAGACAGCAACATTAGTATTGGCACTGATGCTTCACTGCCGTATGGCAAAGTCGTCTTATCGTGACAGATACCAAAGTACGTACGGTGCTCCGCAAACTCCAATGCCACCACTGGGATTCAGAGGCCCGTCCAAGGGCTGCACGTCCAGCAGCATGACTTTGCACTTTGTCGGCGCGAGGCACATTCCGAAAACGGGATGATCTCGGTCAACTTCTCCAACAATGCATGTGCTTCACGCTCTTTTGGAAACAAGGGAACAATATCGAATGTGTAATGAAGACCCACAAGGTTATCGGTCGGGGGTACCTAAACAACGAGTCTTTATAGACCTTCCAGTATTCTCATTTTCTCACTAAGAACGCTTTTGGACAGCTCCCCATGCACTCATAGCCCCCCTCGCATAATATTCACAAACGTCTGGAGCGTAATCTGTTGCTCAACCGTATTGAAAAGAGGTGGTCGGCAGAATCAAACGCACTCTTGACGTCGAGGAACACCAAGATTGTAGGGCGCCTATACGCATGTATCCAGAAACAGAGAGGTGATCGACCCTTGAGCTGTGAATCTGGGGAGCATTGTACAGCTGATTCATTTCACTCGTTTTATAAGTTATAAACCATATACTGAGAGTACACTCAGCCAATCAATGAATTCAACCAGTTGATCAGCCACAGACCGTGTACCATAGGCACATTAGTTCCGGCTGTTACAGTTTCTATCACTGGAACGTGAAAGAGTGCAGGAAATAAGGCCACGCCTTGGGAGGCAATTGCATCTTTAGTTAATAAGGGAACTGAGTAGCCATGCACCGAAGGCGATGGCTTTGATGCACGAGCACTGCTGACTGCGCGATAGGGTCATTACTGCTCGTGTCATTAGCGACTGGTAAGTTAAGCCCCGGGGTCCCCATCCAGGGAGGCGTTAGTTGTCAACTGGTTAGTGTTTTCGTGCTTCTTTGGCAAGTCGTACACTGCCCACCTCTCGGTCGCCTCCACTCAGCACAGGGATGGGCAAAAAGGGGTGTGTGAAGCAAACGGTCTTCTGGTTTGCGGAACACGTGTTCTAATAAGCGTAACCAAGGAAGCGTAAGTAATATATCTATCGCGGGAGAGCTGATTCTTCCTAGGACCATCTGGCGTACCGGAGAAGTACTAATCCGACGTTCTCACCAGAACCGACCAGCATAATCATCATCATGGACAGCACGACATCAGTGATCAACACTGATGCTTCGATGCCGTACAGCCATGATTCACTTGGAAGCCTTATTATGAAGAAAAGAATAAAGGCGGACAGTGAAGTGGCTTAGAGCTAGCTTACTACAATCATCCCGTGCCTACACTTCCTCAAGCATTCAGGCTAGAAATTGACAACAAGAACGCCATTGACATCGATCAGGAGTTATATCTCTAACCAGACGCACTGGTGAACACGCCGTCTCCATCCTGGAGGGCAATTAGCACCGAAAG